TGCATTTGGTGATCGTCTGTTGAGGAATGCAGTCAGGGGATGAACTGGCATGAAGTGTTTACCAAAGGGTTGGTGCTTCCAGGGGAAAAACCAGCATCAACCCGGTGAAGATACACTCAAAAGAGAGGTAAAATAGAGGCGGTAATGCTGATGTTGGGGAAGAGCTTTCAGGCTTTTCAAGTGTGAAAAGCACAGTAAACCAGAGGTTGGTTGTTACAGGTGTTACAGCCAGGGTTCCTTCCCATTCCTTAGAAAGGTCCCCAAACCATCGGGCTGGCATAGTCTGGCACCCTTTCAACCTGTTCAGACCAAGGAACTTATTTTTCCCTTCTTAAATGCAGGTGAATTAAGTGAGCATTAAATTCTTCACACTGGCAGCCTAAGCAACTGAAATCCTCTGTTCTGGATTTCTAATCCCCAGAGCACTTCTGTCTCCTGCAGTGTAGATTGTTGGGTCTGTTAAATCTGAGACTGCCGCTAAAAATACAATTGCTTTTCAATACCTGCACACTTCTGCTCACCAGGTCTCCACTGGGAAGGTCTATGCCATTAAGATACAGGTCAAGCAGCCACTTATATGCTTCTTTTGGCCTCTAAATGTTCTCACTTCCTCTGGGATCAGTATGTTTGCAATAACAGATGTGAAAATTGACTTCAGAATATTGTAGCAACAAAGTCTTCCCAAGTCACCCAGCTGGTTAAAGCTAGTACCTCTCCTCATCTCACTTCATTCACACACCCCAGCTCTTTTCTACTTACAAAAGCCTGGAAAAAGAGATATGCCTCCCAGCAAGCCTCAGATTAAACAAACTCACTCTGCAAAAGGTCCAGGAGGAGAAAAAAAGGTGTTTTCCACTTATGTGACTGCTAACTTAGATGCCACCTCTTATCTGGGAGGCAGGCTGCTGGGGCACAGTGAGATAGGAGAATCAAGACCCAACAGTGTTATCACATAAAGAGCTCACGCACTTGCCTGCTAAATTGCACCTGCCAGAATACAAAAGCAAGCCACTTGCCTGCTAGCACAGAACGTGTTTTATTTAATGAGTTGTGAACTGTGCGAAGACCATGAGGTCTCTCAGGAGAAGATGAGGGCTGTTTCTCACAGCCCCAGCCATTTTATGGGTGGCTCGGTATTGGCCGGGCCGACCTAGGTGACACCTTCTTCATTTCCTGCTTCCTCCCCACGCAGATCACAAGACGACAGGACAAATGTTTCATCCACATTAAAGCTTTATTCATTTTCTCAGGACAAACAACAGAGAAGTGCTATAATCAGCCTAATGCGGTGCTTTTCAAACTGTGGTCCCCCTCACAGTTTAAAACTCTATACATGAACAGAGGTGACAATTACCCCGAACTACTACACAAACAAGAGCAAGCTGATCTTTGTGCAGTATAACAGGCTTCTGTATTTTTATGACTGACTATGTATATGACTATATATGATTATAAAGGCTATGGCCACTATTAAAGTTGTCTAGTATTTATTACAAGAGCCTGATTTTATTTTTTTTTTCAGCTGCTTATTGCTTTGCCATATTCTTCATTTTTGTGCCAAAACTTTCCGTGTAAGATACAAGACCTCAACTTGTCAGAAAACTCTGGCTAGAGCTGCTCTGCCATTTCCAACAGCAACAGCAAGAAAAGCGTTTTGTGAATGTTAACTTCTGGCAAACATTTCTTAGGGAAGCTTTGATATTTCTACGGTTTAACGAGTATTTCCTGGATTCTAAGTCAAAGCAGTAACTTTGTCTGTGCTGCTGTCCACACTGCTATGGGCAACCCAGCTGGCCCCAGTACCTCTACTCAGCAGTTCCTTTAAAGAGTGTAGAAATACTCTACACCTCTAATAGCTGCTCTGGGCCAGCATCAAAAGAGCGACTGGGGGGCATGTCTTCCCCATACTCTTGCTGACCTCTCCTCTTGGTGCTACTGTCGCGTGGGGAGCTGGACTGCCTGAATCAAGTGCAAAGTTGGACCTAGAGGGGCAGAGTTTGAGCTGGTGGGAAGAGCAGGGCGCTTACCACTGGCAGGGGGGACAGACAGGAATTTGAACAACAAGATGGAGAGAGAGGCAAAGGGGGAAAGCAGTAGATCATGGCTTAGGGAGTTGGACACAGAGCACAAGGGTAGCAAGAACCAGGAAAAAAGAGAAGAGTGAGGGACAGAGGAGTAAGGGGTGAGAGGCAAAAGAAACCCAGCCGGTGGGTGGAGGAGGGAAATTGGGTCTGCCTGGGTAAGGGGGGATGGCAACTCAGAAAAACACATTTATACTTGCTCAACAAGAATATCTGTACTAAGATGAGAACCTGAGGCATGGAGGTTGCAATGAGCTAAATGAGTACAGAAGTAGAACAAGGGAAAAGGACGGAGAAGGTGGGCTGGCACATGTGAACACCCCCCTCTGCCTCCACTGGATCTCAGACCTGGCTGGCAACGCTCGTTGTAGGCATGGCTCGCTCTGCCCCAGCTGCCGGCAACACCCAGGAAACCCACCAGCTAGTTTTTCCATCCCAGATGGTAAATGGATGAATGAGATGAACTGTTGGCTGTTGTGATTACTTGTGGCACTAATATACACAGAAGAATTTGCTTCGGTGGATTTAGATGTTCCCACTGCCCTCGGCACCCACAGTACAGCACTAGAGGACGGAGCCGCTCTCCTTACATTTTGCTTTTTATTTTTCAAAACAATGCAAACAATCCCACACAAGGGAAAAGAGGCTGTTTAAATCCATTCCCTACTTGGGGAACAGAGATTCGAAGGCAGCTCTCCCACTTCCCAGGAAAGCCTAAGGGGTAGAGGGTTAGTCTACAAACCTTTACCCTCCAGCGAACCGTCACTGGTGTCACCAAGGGTATGGCCTGCGGACAGCTGGATTGTACCAGCAGGAGTCAGAGACCACGTTCATCCACTTGAGTCTCTGCTAGTGGTGCTGACGCACTAGAAAATCTACCTTGATTCCCATCTCCAGGAAAAAGTATCACACAGGATGACAGAGAGATGGAATCCCCTTTTTTCACGTTTTTTTAATATAGACATAAACTATATATAAAGCATATAAGTATACTTCTCAGAGTACAGGTATTTGAGGAATAACAGTTCTTTCAGAAGAAATGTAATAAAAATCCCACTCAGGTGGAATATAGAGAGAATTAGAGGAAATAAATGTGAATTTATACCTAACTGGAGACTATAAAATCAAGTCCAGAAGAAAGGCGCATTCTCTCTACAGTATAAAATGGCATTGTCATGCTGGTAGGCATTTCCACGAGCAGAGAAGATTCACTGTGCCAGAAACAGAGATGCAAACCCACCAACAAATCTACCACTGTGTTTATGAGATGGTACAAAATTCATCCCTGGCTTACGCAACTGAAATTCAGACGAAAGCAAAGTGGAGTTGCCAGGTATTTGGACGTGAGTCTATCGGAGGGAGAGGGATGGCTGTGTTGTCCCAGAGAGCTGTAAGGAGGAGGATCATGGAAATTCAGTGAAAATGGCATTTACCTACACAGCTGCCATTACTTTAATTCCCTAATCGCCTGATACTCTCCAAGTTTAAGTGCTGATGTGTTCCTCCTCCCTGACTTCACCCAGAGGCACAACTTGCTGCTAGGAGGAAACCAAGAAGATGTCACAGGGACGAAGATTTGGCCAGGAATTGCTGACAGTTCCTAATGTAAAAGCCCATTAAATCCCCCTGCTAATTACATATCACTGCAACTTTTGTTTAAGAGCAGCTCAAGTTGTAAACACTTGGGTATGTAAACAAGCAAGCAGCAAAGTAAGATGTACATCTGGTGTTAGTGTTATATATACACCAGTAAAGTTAAAGGTTCAGTATTGTCTGGAGATACCTTTAATAATGAACAGAAATATTTTCGGCTTTAAGTCCTACAGAAAATAACTTAAACACTGCAATGTAAACTAACAAACTTTTAGTTTCTAGCTCCAAAGCCCTGTCCAGCCTGAAAGACAAACATAAAACTTCCCTCACCTCACCTAGAACAGTACCTACCAGCAGCTGCTCGATTAGATAGGCTCTCTCAGCTTCCCCCCCAGGGTGTCCGGTTAATGCTTTGCAAATGTCTGTTTCCTATCCTGATTAAAATGTTTCTGTTTTCAAGAAATATGTTTATATGTGTGTGTGTATATATACGTGCAGAGAGAGAGAGAACACGCATGTATCTTACATCAAATAAAAGTGAGATATTTTCTGCAGAAATAAAAAACCAGCCCCCGTCCCTCCTCCCAAATGCAGACATTTGAAAATCCTATGCTAAGAGAAATAAGAAAGATTAAACCTCTGTGCACTCAACAGAACCTCCTGCAAACAATTTACGTAGAGAGTATCACTGTTTTTCCCCTCCCCTCTCTAAAGCACAGGTTAACAAACATCAGCAAAGAATACTTCAGCTCTGTATTCACAGGGGTTTTGGTCAGCATTCGAATATTCTCAAAAGTTGTCTTTCACCCCCAAATCTAGGAGGGCCGAGACTATCCTTTTGCCCTTACCTATTCTTTTGCCTCATGCAAACCGTGAACACCTCTCAAAAGATAACCATGTCCTAGACAAAAATTAACAGCAGAATTACTAAAGCATGGAGAGTTACTGATCGTGGACGACTGGTATTTCGGGATTAGGTATTTCCTAATAAGTATCTCCTTAGGGTGGTAGTACACCTTGTCCTGTCTTTGGCCAGCCAGTAGATCAGGGAGAAAACTTCTCTTGTGGATCACTGTACTCGTTAGGAAGTGAACACACACACTACTTAAACGCTATTTATTGCAAAACGCATGTGGTGATAGCTGCCTCGCAGAATCAACAGGAAATGCGTACGGGTTCAGACATAAAATCCATCACCCTTACTAACAACAGGATGAAGACAACAACGTTTTACTCGCCCCTTTCAGGGAAGCAGTAAACAGTCTCTAGAAAAGTCATAAAGCGTAGAGGGCTAGGAACGTTGAGCAACTGCATTAGGTTAGTTACCTGTTTCGGCGTCTCCTTGGGGTGCACGACAGTAACAGCAGTCCATGAAGATAACATAGTTGAACACATTGAAGAGCAGACCTGTAATCCCGACAACGAGGACAAGCAGTGCTTTCTCAGTCTTCTGAGGATTGATAAACCTCTTGACTGTCTCAACAAAGATGCTAAACATCAGAGCGGTGGCAAAAACAGAGTTGCCAAAAGCTCCCAGCACATCTGCCCGGCTGAAGCCGAAAGTGTTAGCCTTGTGCCATCTGATGCGGCTGAACCTAACACCGAACAAACCGATGATCATGGAGATCAAGTGAGAGAGAACAGCAAAGGCATCTGAAGCTAAGGAAAGAGAATTGCCAACATAGGCGACTGAGATCTCAACAGCAAAGAGCACCAGGCTCACCACGCACATGAGGATGAGCCTGCTGCTCCTGCCCGAGTAGCGTCCCATTTCTCTTGCTCTCTTCCCCTCACGTTGGGGTTCTGCAAGACAGAGGTGGGTGAGGAGCAACTCGCTGCCTGCGATTCTGCCCTTCACCTGTCAGTGCTGCTCACATGTGGGAGCCACTTTTATAGAAGCAGTAAAGCAATAAATCAGTTTAAAGGGCAGTTTAGCACGATTCGTCATGTGAAGGCAGCCTGAAGGCTCCAGTCCTGTAGGAGTTCCACCCTCAGGAGGCTTTTCTTTCTACAAAACCAAATACAAACCAAGGGAGAGTAGCGGGAGCACCAGCACTTGCTACTCTAGCCAATGGCACTGTGCCAAAAAAAATGAGTAAGGCCCAGAGAGGAGAGCATAAGAAAGTGGCTCAGAATTTTAAGCAATTAGAAAAGGTGTTTATTTTGCCTAAAACTTTCCTCCTGTTTCCTTTCCTGGTCTGTTTCGGCCATTTCTGTTGCCTGTAACTTTAGTACTGAGAAATGTGTGTGGAAGAAGACATTTTAAATCCATGTTAAGACATTTTTAAGAACACAGTAAACGTGAACTGCCTGCAAGGGTAGTTGAACATGTTGTCCATAGAGCAAGTTTCAAAGACAACTGAATTCATCTTAGATTTTAGCACCCCAGAGTTTTCAATGGCTTGTACTTTTGGTACATTTTAACGTTGCCCATGGACATGGAGTAAAGGTGGAGGCCGATTTCTAAATATGTGACCAGTAGACACAGAAGCTGAGCTTTAAAAATAAACCCAAAGCACATAGTTTATTTCCCATTTAGAAAACCCTGCCTATCTCAAAATCCCAAAGTCATTCTCATACGCTTGCAAGGAAGAGTCAGATTTGGGGAAAGCACAAACAGAAGGGGGAAATAAGAGCTGCAGAAGTCCTAGCTTGTACTCGGTGCCATTTCTGGAACAAAGTAAGAACCTGAAGCAGTAACTTCTTTTTTTTATGTCACTCACTGTAGTACCTGTTGAGGTCTTGAGCGCAAACTCCGGTGAAGGAAATATTGCTGCTAATAGCACACTAGGCTTCCTTGAAAACTTTATGATTTAGTTTTTGTTTGAAATGCCCATCTGTGTACCTACATAGAGACAGTTAGTTACAAGATAAAACGGAAGGAAATTACATGCAGTACAGCGTAGAGCGATAAGATAGTAATACTGATAACCTGAGCTGACCAACTATCCCTGCTGGCCTCAGACTTCCCAAGGTGAATTAACTTTAGGTCAAAAACGCAAACACCCACCCCCCTTTTTCACTTATTTTTTTTGCTCACAGGGTTTCAACAGCCAAAATATTTATGTTTAAAGTCCAGTCTGTTAGAAGCCTTGCCTGCCAACAGATGTAATTTTTAACATTTGGTCATTTGTTTACCCACACGCTGCAGCTGCAGCTCCTGAGAGTTCCCCACCATCTTTTAAGAACACCTCTAACCCTGGCAGGGTGAATTAGAGAACTAATTACAACATTGAAACTGGTACTTGCTCTTCTTCCTCTTCATCCTCTCCCACCTGTGTTACTACTTCTATCCCAGCTATTTCTAGGGTGTTTTCTTCCTTTTTGTATTAATGTTCAACTACTTATTTTACTATCGGGACTATAGAGCATGGAAAGTGAATTTTTTTCAAGTGTTATTCTCTTTTCAGTGGAAACAGACCAAGGCCAAACTTCAGAGCTCTCAAAAGTCCTGCCTTAGATAAGGTTTCGATGACCAAAACACAAGCTCCAGCTACATGAAGCATTCCTTTTGCGGCAGCGCCAAAATGCTTGTGTCCTCTACTTTGTCAATAAGGAGCAGCCCCACGTGAAGGCAGTTCCACTACATCCCACCTTACTACACTGTTTAACCCAAATTTATCAGTATACAACTAAGGAGCAGTAGAGATTTGCGGTTCCAGTATAAACACAAAGCTGCATCATTTAATCATATGAATAGCGTGTTAATCTATTCATATATTTACTTTCCAAGAGACATGATTTATTAAGATTCTGAAAGTTATTTATACCAGTATAATTAAGAGTAAGTATGGATGTTTCTGTAACGCTTTACAGGTAGCTCAGATTGCGCTTCTGGTGGAAGGGTACTTAAGAGGGATGTGTCTCTCCCAGGCAGGCAGTAGCTTCTCCTCTGTGGAAGGTCACCACAGAGATATCTGCAGGTGAGTCATCCACATTCCACACACTTCAAGCCCTACTATGATCAGGAAGAAACATGCTGGGGAAAAGAATTAAACAAATAAACAAACAAATAAAAAGGGCTGGACTTCCATGAATCCTCTGGTTTCAGACACTCAGTTGTAGGTTGAGAACAACTCATTCCTAAGAACAGTGTTGTCAACATGTTTACTCATGAACTATTCAACTGGTTGAAGGTTGGCTGTTTGTTCAAACTGATAAGGTTAAGAGACTGCTTTTAGTTTTGCCTTCCCTTTGTTCTGCACTATCAACAGCTTCCGTATCTCATTTTTAAAATACCGATGTGGCAGTGTTTTGATGGCAGCTGGAAGTGCTCATCTATTCTTAATAATCTCATTTGCTCTGTCAAAAAATGTTGGTGCTCTCCTGTCTCTTGTGCCTCAGGACATTGAAGCTGCTGGTTACCGCCTCTCCCCTTCCCCCAGCACGAGAGTGCTGCAGCAGGCAATACCCCTGCAGCCTAGTCTTAGTTACCCATCATTTGGGGCTGGGAGGACAACACTCTGGTATTACTAACGGTTTTTCTCCAAGTATAATTCCAGTCAGTGTTAGAGACAGCACACCAGAATAGAAAGACCTTAGGGACACTCTTCTGGTACGTCAACTGAAAACGAAAGATGAATGCATGCACTGACACATCATTCCCTAAATCCTTTGCTCATTGCCCGAGACTTCGTCTGTATGGTGAGAAAATACCTAGACAGGTGAATGCAAGATAGACAATTTCACGATGCAACTAAAGCAAACCCTTCAGGACTAATCATCATCCAAGGAATATTACAGAGAATTTCCAAGTGCTCCAGCATTCTGAGCAAGCTGATCTGAAATATTTAATCATTTTTGCATCTTTCTCTGAAAAACTGGGTACTATCACAAGGTGCATGATCCTAAGCTGGACAGACCACTGGCTCAACTTAATATTCAAACTTTTGACCAGGAAGGCTGACCACAGGAATCTAGGCAAAAGCAAACATTTTGCATGTGTTTGAAAAGCAGAGAAATGTGAAGATCTGGGAATAGCACTGCAAGTCTCCTGTATTTTAAAGACTTCTGGACTATTGATGCTACATAAAAATAGGGATTTGGAAATAGGCAGCCATGTAGTATTGTCCCAGGAGGAATTTGGGGACCATCTGACATCTGAATGGTCCAACTTTTTAATTGCCAAGTTTTCACTTAAGTCTTTTCAGGAAAAGGGGTTTAAGTAGATGGCCTTCAAACATACAGGAAAAGCAAGGAACAAATTAAGCACGTGTCATCCAGAAGTTATTTTGTGCCAGGACTATCCCATATTTTTTTAAGTCAGAGTTCAGAGTGGAAGTAGGAGAAACAGAGCTTTGCAAAATATCTGAGAGGGACCTGGGAGTCCTGGTGGATGACAAGCTGACCATGAGCCAGCAGCGTGCACTTGTTGCCAAGAAGGCCAATGGTATCCTAGGGTGCATTAAGAGGAGTGTGGCCAGCAGGTTGAGGGAGGTTATCCTCCCCCTCTACTCTGCCCTGGTAAGAGCCCACCTGGAGTACTGCATCCAGTTCTGGGCTCCCCGGTTCAAGAAAGACGAGGAACTCCTAGGGAGAGTACAGAAGAGGGCAACAAAGATGATTAGGGAACTGGAGCATCTCCCCTATGAGGAAAAGCTGAGAGAGTTGGGCTTGTTCAGCCTGCAGAAGGGAAGATTGAGAGGGGACCTCATCAACATGTACAAATATCTTAAGGGTGGATGTCACAAGGATGGAGCCAGACTTCTCAGCGGTGCCCAGCGACAGGACAAGGGGCAATGGACACAAACTGAAGCATAAGAGGTTTCAGTTGCATATGCGGAAGTGCTTCTTTACTTTGAGGGTGACAGAGCAGTGGAACAGGCTGTCCAGGGGGGTTGTGGAGTCTCCTTCTCTGGAGATACTCAAAGCCAGCCTGGATGATGTCCTGTGCAACCTGCTCTAGATGAACCTGCTTTAGCAGGAGGGTTGGACTGGATGATCTCTGGAGGTCCCTTCCAACCCCTGCCATTCTGTGATTCTGTGATCTGCAAGAAATGGCATTCACCTGCATCCTAACCATGTGGCATTTAATCTAAGATAGCCTTTGAAACTTGTTTTATGACAGTGCTCCAGAAAGAGTTTTCAGAAAGGGTAGCGTTTACCATGCCTACAAGTTAGAAGCAAGTCTGCACAGAAAATTGAAAAATTTGAAGGCAACATTAAAAGCAGATGCTTTATCTATAAAGTTTATGCTGGCACACTAAACTGTACTGCAGAGAGTTTATGACATTCTCTCCGATCTTTCAGGCATTTTCTCAGTGTACAAGAAAATATATGCACCAAAACGGAAAAGACATGAGCAAAGAATACCTTTTCTCCCCATTAAGCAACACAGAAAAAACAACCAAAGCATATTACAGCTCACAATACATGTTTATTATTAGAGATGTTTACAGAAAAGTCTGTGAATTACTGCTAGCCTAAGACTGACAATTGGGGGGGTGTTACGGTTTATGGCTTTTTTTCTTTTTTTTTTGAATCATTTAAAAAGTCGCAAAACTGATTAAGTTTGGGGGCTACTTCAGTCTTATTAAAAAAAGTTCAATTCACAGATAAAGGAGAAGGTGCTTTCACTAGTAATTTAGTAACTACGACCAAATAGGGTGTAAAACTTGGCAGGGTTTTTGCCGCAGACACATCTTGCCCCACACTGTAGTTCACAGAGAGGCTGAAAAGGTATGCAGAGGCTTTTTGCTCCCATGGAGGGCGCGCCAGGCTCAAGATCTTGATCCCTGAAATAAAAGCATATTCATAAATAAATTCTTTTAT